GAATGTGTTAGTATACAAAACAATGGACGGCGTATTGCCAACATCAATTTACAAGAAAAGCACGCATACAGATCAGATTTGGAACTTCAACAGCAACCACGCAAGATGTCACGAAATAAGCTGTGTGCAGACACTGTTCCGTAGAATACCAACTCACTGCACTACGACAGAAGCGAAACAAGCAGAAGAAAAGCACTTGTTCAAGTCATTTGCACACAGTGGATACCCGCGCAGTTTCCTCCGAAGATGCATAAACCGCGAGCCCTCGAAAACCGAACCTACGTCAGCTATGACGCAACGTACATAAAAAACGTATCTGAAATGACGGCCAGATTGTTCAAACATCACATCATGGTATCCCACAAGCCACCCGTCACCCTGAGGAAAACATTATTAAAACCAAAAGGAAAGCGAGACACTAGAACGACGGAATGTCCTATACAGAATAAACTGCTTAAACTGTGAAAAGCACTGTGGGACAAACAAGGTGGCTGTTCACAAGGGCACATGAACACCAAAGAGCGTGCAAGAAACATTACGCAACCTCCTTGGTTTCAGCACACGTGAATGAAGAGGGGCTCAGCTTCGACTGTAACAAAGTAGAGATCTTGACCGAATGAGAAACCCAAAAAGGGAGGGAATTTCTCGAAGCCTGGTTTTGAACCACGAACTCAATCAACCTTCATATCGACATCAATCCAATATACCAACCGCTGAGACAGAGAGAGCTCAAGAGGATTAACGACCGTTGTTCGAAAAAATCTAATCCAACACCCAGATAATGGACGAAATGGTCAATGTGAGCCCAGCCTGCTCACCCACACCCGTTGCACCAATTCGAGTGCGATAATCCCAATCACATCGCAACGACATCTTCGTAGCCAATGACTGACTCGAGTACGACCGCAGAACACAATGGTCTACCAATCAGGACGAGGCAAACTTTATAGCCCCATATGCCTATACAAGAAACGGAGTGGTTACTGATAGTATCCATTATTGGCTTTGCTTTCTACCAACTACTGCTATCAACTGTGCACTGAAGATGCCCCCTCGAATGGTGGCGAAACGTTTGTAATCAACTTGCTTAGCTCCGAGAACTCCACAACAACTGAAGACAACGATCGGTGGGTGACCAAATGTTTGACGACGCTCGAGTATTTGGCGGAATGTAAGGATCTGATGGATGCAACTCCGACCTAAGTGGAATCCAGCTTGCATTTCACGTATGCTCTGTTCGCATACCAGGCGGAACTTCCTTAAAAGCAGAGCTGTGAACACCTTGAAAGCAACACAGATGAGACTAATCCCTCTACGATTGGCGCAGTCAGTTCGGCTACCCTTTTTGAAGACGGGCGTGATTTCTGCTAGGCTTCAATCAGATGGGATAACTTCAGTGACCCAGATCTCTTGAAGAAAAGAGGTTAACTCCTGAGTAAGTGATGGGCCGCCATCTTTCAAAAGAGCCGGAGGGAGTTCATGTGGGCCAGGGGCTTTGTAGCGCTTTAAGTGGCGAAGGTCATGGGCAACCTCAGTCTCGGATGATGGTGAAGCGTCTACGCACCAGGAAATGCTCTGAACTTCAGCACGCGAACTCATTGGTGCTGCTGGCCAATTTACCTGCTGGACGAAGTGCTTGATCCAACGTTCGAGTCGGCGCTTTTAACTGGATTGGTTCGCCATTGATTTCGCATAAAACTTTTCTTACAGTCGGCTTTTTGCGGCCAGTAGATCGGATCAGGAAGAAAAGCTTACAGAAATTCTCCGAGATGGACTCTTGCTTCATCTCAATGACCCGCTGCATCCACCAGGCCTCGCGATCTTCCCGTAGAAGCTGTTTGAGCTCGGCGTTAATAGTTTTGCATAGTGCATGGTATTTAACGTTAGCAGGATTTGCTCGAAGGGCTTCGAGAAGGAGGGTTCGTGCAGAGATCCAGTGGTTGACAAGACTACTGGTGAAACCATTAGACCAGGGTTGCAGAGTTGTACATGACGTCGCTGATGTGTGTCCAGTGTGTTACCATGTCTGTGCATAAGGTAGTCTTCAGCCTTGAGGTTAAGGCATCCTGAAATTCACAGCGGATGTTCGGAGCAGAAAGCTTAGCTACCTCAAGCGGTTTCTGGCGATGTTGCTGGGAGCCAACAAAACGTAGCGCGACCTTGGCACACATCAGCTCATGATCCAATGTGAGATAGATACTTCAGATTGATTTGCAACCATTTCTGCAGCCCTACCAGCAATAGCAATTTGGGTCCACGGTTGGCTAGGTGATGGGGGTCTCCAGGTGGCGCGTTGACGCCAGGATCCCCGAATGTTAGGGCTTGACAGAAAGAGGCCGTGATCGGCGCAAAACTGAAGTAGGTGATCACCATTGTCTGTCCCGCGGGTGCCACAACCGTGTTGACCACCCAGTTCACGTTTGCCAACTCCAAGTCTACCAACCTGCGCGTTTAAGTCCCCGGAGAGCACCACGATGTCGGTACGACGCTTTTTACAGAGAAGGTCGGCCAGTTGACCGTAGAACTCGTTTTTAACTGACTCCGGACTGCAATCTGTGGGAACGTACGCTGCGACACTGAATTGACAGCATCTGCTGGCTTCGCGCCTAGAGAGTCGCACTGAGGTTTCAAGTCGGATCGCGCATAGTTGACTGTTCACAGAGATACAGTTTAGTAGCCCGGCCTCAACACGTGTGCTCAGTGCAATCCCCACGCCAGCATAGCCAGCAGCTTCAGCCGTTGAGTCTCTATATAGGCGCAAAGTGAAAGTGCTAGTGGAAATCGCCTACGGTGAAACTAGTCGAAGCGTCATGTTAGATTCCTGTAAACGGATCTTGCTGAGACAGCAGACATCAATGACCATAGTTTCTAGAGTACGAGCAGGGGCTGCTTGTGATCCAGTCTGCATCAGCTTCCGCACATTGAAAGTTACCAACTTGAATTTGGAACGGGGCGCTAGAAATGGCTTGCCAATACGACTTGGCACACCCTCGGACCTAGGCTGCTGATCCGTATGGCGAGAACATTCGCCCAAGGCGGCACGGTGTTGTAAACTCGAAAATGGAGGGGAAAGACCAAGAATTGGGGTTGAACAAACGTGGAATAAAGTGTGGTAAAACGTGGTTTGGCAGGTTCAGCCGCCAGCACCTCGACCGAGGATAGCAGTTCGAGAGAGTGAGAACAGATAGAGCGAGAGCGGAGAGATCTAGCCAAGATTTTTTGAGCCATGGATCCATAGGTTATGTGGGTGTGGTGCTTCCCGGTTGCTCAGGCCGAGGAAGAGGAGCTTTGGGTCATTAAAGATCTAATTCGCAAGACAGTGTGGCGATTGACGCATCACGCGAACCGTTGGGAGCCGACTATCTGGGTGAGAATAAAACGGGTTTCGAGTAGCGGCAAACTACTCGGGGTGCCCAAAGAGCCCGAGTGAAGCAGCAGGGAAGCCAGGATTCCCTGGACTACCGAACTCGTCGCAAAACACGAAGGCCGTTGGCAGCTGGGTTGCACGTAAGCCTTCATAAAAGCCGGCGACCATCGAGCTTGTTCATCCGCCCTCCATTATGTACTCACTTCTGCGACCAGAACCGAGTGGTCAGTGACCCTATAGCCGGTCACATCGATTTTGTTACAGCGCCTTGCGAACTCTTGTGGTATTTACTGAGAAACTACGTGATCAGCCTAGAACGCCCGCACTCTAGGACGCTGCCGCTGATTGTCCACGACTGCTTATTTACCTCGCTTATGAACAGCCGAGACTTATTCACAGTTATCTTCGCAAGGAAGGCACTCCCCCATCCGCAGCCTGGGGACGCGCCCGGTGGCGTACAGCTCCGCCCAACCAATCAGTGGTCGGTTCACTTCCGGGACCTTGGAAATTAATATCACACGTTCCACTTTGGTAGAGACGCACAACACATCTTCTAGGCCAAACGAACTTCTACCTCAGCCATAATATTGAGGTGATCCTTTGTTGGGTTGGCTTGCTGCATCTAACACTATTTGGGATACTGAAGAGATACCTTCAGTCTGTCAACCGAGGATACCACTTTGAGGCCTACCAATTCGTGTTTGAGAATTTTTCTTCTGTTGCTGCGTTCGGGTGTCTGCTTAACTCGACTCGGCTAAATTGTGTTTGTCGTGCTATTCATGGAAATAAACCCTGACTATTTTCTGTATGTGTTAACCGCTTACTTCGGCGTTCAGCTAGTTGCATGAAATCGCGGAGTGTATAGGACTAGTAAATACTAGTCCGAGACGGGGTACGTAATCCAACGCAGATACTATAAGACGGGAAGGTTGGACACAGCTTACTGTATTCGTTCAAGGCTATAGGATCTCTGACTGATAAAACGAAGACCAGTGAACGTCAGCGCAGTAAATCACTAAGCAGACCAGTTCGAAGGGATATGGACAGAAGGCGAGAAGCAGGAAAACAAGGACGGGTATTATACACTCGGCCAGTAATAAAATTACACCTAAAAATAACCGTTATATTTTAGAGTGCTACAAGTGTTTCGGCGATAACATTACAGGGAGACTGAAAGCTGTTGGCAGAGAGCTACTCAGAATGGTCTACACGTTTTCATGGATGGGGCTTCATCCTTGCTTAACTCAGCGCTTAGTAACTTTGTTTGATACTTCACAGTTGCCGACTATGTAGCGTTTCTTCTTTCAGTCCTTTCCCTTCATCTCTATCATTCGATTTTGCCTGCTTTTTGCCGATTTCTTTTTGCTTTTCGTTTTATTATTTTTTTCTCGCTTTCCTCCGCTTTCATTAGTAGTGTTGCAGCATCTGAAAGAGTCATGGCAGCTGGATCCGACAATACAATGCTCGCATAGAAATTGGACTTAATTGAACTGCATTCATTAGTATCGGTCTAAGCTAATTCTGACCCATTAATGTTCAATGATTTCTGTGCTCTACCGGTGGGACGTTGTGCACACCGACATATGACGACTCCTTTGTTCCAGCTACGCGGTTCTTTTTAATTACTCTACCGATGTCACATGACAAGCAACGTTTACACAAAAAACACAAGAAGTCCAACAAGTGTTCCTCAGTATGTTATTGTTACCACATTTGAGAAGCGGCTTCACAGTCTTCCGATAGCGACTACGAGTGGACGGAACAAAAGCAAGTGAGAAGACCTGTGACTAAAGAAGTTCCCGAAGTATGTGGTTTCAGTCTACTTCACTTCTTAGGATTTCACCGGTGCTGATAAATCACCGTCTATTGAAGGCTTTCTGGAAAGCGTGACTTCTGCTCCAAAGAAAGACAAGCGCTTGGATCAGGTTGAGACAGTAAACCTTTTGTTTTCGCATTTTTCCTAGCATAAGCGAACACCTCATGAATTAAATCCTTATTGGAAAGATGGTGGTGCCGGACTTCCAGAACCGCTAAATCCCTACCGGGCCAAAGAGCAAAAATCAATTTTGACAGAAAGCAACGAATCATGGCTTCGCATGTCTTTTCGGCGTTGCTTAGAACAGGCGAAGATCGATCGTGTTGCGGTTGAAGATGCGCTTTTGCAGCGTTGGAATCGATCTACAGTGGATGATATGCTGAGAAGATTCGGCCACGAGAAGACAGGCTCTCATAGTCGCTATGCGCTTCCACGACACCGGTAAGCGCGGTTTGCGAGATTATGGTCTTTCTCATTTCTTTATTGAAAATTCCTCTGAACATGTATTTGAGAAGTCATCCGAAACCGCTTGCACTACATCGAGAGGGCCCGAAGTTTAGTCCTTATCCATCCCCTTGGTAGAACTTGCCCATTCCGTCAAATAGAGCCCACGGTTCAATAGACGATGAATTTCGATGGCTTGCTGACTGATGATGTGCGTGTTCTTCTGGGACTTCAGGCTGAATGTCAGCCGACTTATTCTAATAATGTTTGCAAAGTCATATTTACTCCCCCTAAGGAGCCGGTTTTACTCTTACCAGAGTATCCCATTCCGATTTCTTTTGCTTGCATCTTGAGTTTAGGATACGACTAGGGCATGCAAATCATTAACACCATTGCATGCCTCACCATTACTCTCATACGTTAGTTCTCTTGCTTCACTGTTGCTACTATTTGGCACGTTATCTCTGCGATCTACTAGGTCATCCCAACTGTTGGAGTATACTGCGATTTTTTCATCCACACCAATGCATTTGTCCTGGTGGCCTGACTAGGCAAGCTGAACATAGGCAATATACACCAACGGCAGCAAAGTGCCCTCTCTCCGGACTTCTGCACATGTCATGGTGTTGTGTGCTAAGTTTACTGCTCTCGTACGTTGTGGATACTCTGCGAGGCAGTTGCGTGCATCCTACTGTCCTAAGATGATGCGTTCTGTTATGTTGGCGGACTCCGAATCCTTTGTGTCCCAGCTTCGCGCGACTTCCTTTTCGTTTATATCACCTGTAAAGTGTCCGAGTATATCTGTGTTGTTAACAATTAGTTTTCCTGATAGGCTTATTCGTTGCTGCTTTCATTTCATTGCTAAGTATGCAAACTACTTCACTTGCTCGGCAAATTTAATGCAACTAATTCAAGAATTCATCACATACTTTTCCACTGTTTGGGTTTGTTGTTCTAGCCGTACGTAATACATTTTTCTGTTTGATACCCTTACAACTCACGATGTCTCCAGCTACTGATTGGATCATCATCATCATCATTCACGTTAGCTAGGTATGACGCATCTCTGTTGGGACGCAGTACAATCCCACTAGATGGAAATGACAAGCGAAATAAACCAGAAATGCTCTATGTTACGTGAAGGAGGCTAAGCGGACTGGGAGGGATAAAGAGGCTCACAACGCAACTGCCATGGAGGTCGGCTCTTAGTCAAGTCAACAAGGGTCTCCAATGAAACGTCCTCATCGTTCTTCGGACCTCAGTCCGGCAGTCGTGGACACCAATCGAGGCACAATTCAAAGTAAGAACTTTCATTCCTCTTGACCAAGTCATCCATTGACCTCTTAATCTTCTTTCAACCAGATTCCGGATCGCGGGACTCGATCCACCGGCATACGTTGCAGCTTGCTTAGACATAGGGGCTTGGTGCGTGCGCGGTTCGCTTGCTCTTCCCGTGCCAAAAACAAGGCGGCGAGCGCGCTCACTGCTCACGCGGTACTCTCTCCAGATAAGTGCCAGTATGCAAGGCACCAGTGGTCGAACGCAGTCAGCCACTTTATGTCTATTGATCTGATGCGTCAAGTTTCGCTACCGTGCAAAGGTTTGGAGAGATGGTGGGAGCGATGTCGCACGTACCATATTTGGCGAACTGGAGCAAAAGCGTATTAAACTTATTCTATGCGGTTTGTGACATCATCTTCTATTCCACAGGCGCTGGTATAGCTATCCAGGTAGTCAAATTTCTGAACGACTTCCAATTAATCCTCGGCATGAGTCAGCTGAAATATTGGGCTGTTCATGTCCTGCAGTATTATATTCTAGGGGATCAGACATTGTCTTAAACAGCTGGCAGCCAGTGCTAATCTGCCTAGTGTTCCTCGGCACGTTTGTGCGATGTCATAGCTAAGGAGATTATCATCAGCATACTCAAAGTCGTTGCACTGGTAACGTGGGAGCAGTTCCACACCTTCCAATCCGTATCCAGTGAACACACTTTCCATGATTTCATCGATGACGAAGTCATAAAGGAACAGCTTTGTATCACTTTTTGGAGATGTTGAATGATGGCGACAATGTGTCCTAAGCCTTCACACTCTCCGAACCACACGTGTAAGTAGTTCCTATAATATTTACACATCTCTTGCGCACTTTTCCTTAACGTACGTCGATCCATGGAATCGAAGGTGTCTTTGATGCCGAGTTTGCTAATATACGGAAGGTTGCTACAACAACTGGCTTACAGTGAATTTGTGGTCAATTCAGTCTTGCGTTCGACGGAACCAGGCTTGCACTTCATTACGCTGTTCCTGCCGGCCGTCAGTCAGTCTATGAAGAACGACAGAATCAAGTAAGTTAGGGGCAATGAAGTTCAAACTGACGCATCCGTAGTCACCGCATTCCGGAAGTGAATCCTCATTAAACAATACTGGTGCATCTCAGTCGGTTGGGACAGTTTCCCCTGTTCGTAGTTTCACCATTTCTTCGTGCAAATCATCTACGAGATCTGGTTCACCGAATTTGTATAAGGACTGGAAAAACTCATTTGCTCCTCCGGCCTTATTTAATTTCAACAATCCCAACTCACATTCGGCTCATGCACTAGAGAGCGAATCCAGAAGGACCTTCAGGAAGCAAGGCGGTCACAAACCTGCAGCGAAGCTGGTAATTCTAGCCACTAGAGAAGCCGCGTCTAACTTGTTCCATTTTGCGCCCAAGAGTAAACTCCAACTGTTCATGACGGCCAGTGTCTTGAGGTACAAGTCTGGTTTCGTTGAAATCGAGGTTGCATTGACCACATCTTTACTGTACACCGGTTGTCGGAGCATCGGCACCTATATTTACAACCCGCCCTAGTCATGCCTGTCTCTGATAATGTCTGGCAAACATTCGACCAGTGATCTTCAACCGTATTCAGTGGACGCTTACTCAACCCGGATGCTAGCTTACTTTGATATGCATTCAGAATATCTGGCCTCGTCGGTTTCCAAGTCCCTATGCGCTCACAATCTGCGTAGGGGTGGGCGTCCTCGCGGTATACTCAGCCCGCGCGCGACTGGTGGTGGTCGCGCGGCAGCGAAGCGCCGTTACGGCGTACAGCTGACACATTATTATTATTATTATTATTATTATTATTATTATTATTATGCGCTCACAACATTTTTAAGGACGTCCGTCGAAACGCATCCGCTAGTCATCCCATATAACTGCGCGCTCGGAATCCACCTTCGTGTTCTAAATCGAGCGGCAGTTTTAGACAACCTCTCCAACCTCAACTGATCGCGATGTGATCGATATGCTTCCTTGACTGATGTGCACCATGTCACCCTTCGGCAGATGCTGGGTTTAAAGTCAGTGCTCGCGATAAATAGACGAGCATACTCACACAGGTGGATTAAAGTCTTATGGTTATGGTTACGCGAGCGTACACCGCGTTGGCTGGAGGCTCATCAGTGGACAGTTTCCCAACTCCGTCGTTCAGATCACCAACAAGCGTCACAGTATCCGCACTATTTCGGTGATGGAACAACGCTTTCAGTTGACGGTAGAAGCCGTTTTCCTCCTAATCAGTGCTGTATTTTGTGGTGGCATAGACAGCAGTAAAAAACAGGCACCTCTTGGCCCCGCGCGAATCGCTAGCTTTGAATGAGCTATTCAATCTGACGATGCATATCCAGCTTTTAATTGTGATCCAATCACTCAGTGCCGATTCGGCCCAGGTACTCAATGCAGTACCCACACCATCTTGCCCGGCACTTGGAGCTGCGGCATCTTCGGACAGACGCAATTCGAAAGTGCCACCATTGTCGTATGTGTGGATGGCACATTGAGCATGGAGCTCAGATTTTGCAGGCGAGTTTCCGATTAATGGCGGATATCTGTCAGTGCTGTAACTAGTGTTCGGGCAAGTACTGCCTGTTGGCCAATCTGTAGCAAAGGTCGCACATTGAGGCATACTAGTCTTAACGGGGATCGAGGGCCCCAAATAGAAACGCAGACTGACATCTTCCGTTTGATTAAACATGGACTTGTCGTTTTACCGGCGTGACGGCCTGCGATTGCGTGGGAATCTAAACTGGAATACAAGCGGGATTGGGGGTTGAACTTGGAAGTGGACGGTTGTGGTGGAAATACACAGGAGGGTAAGATGATGAAGACTTGGGAAGCAGCATCACTGCTGCCTACCCTGCCCGATGAAACAGATAGGGCGCCGTTGGTTACCTCTTCCCAAGGTCAGGACGATGAACATTCACCAGAATTATCCCATTTTCCAATTTTCTCAATGTATACTCCATCGCAAAGCGCCCACTTGTGTAGGTTGACGGGGTAGATATTTGGTTCCTGCCCGAGAAGAAATAGGTACGTTTGTTTATGTGGTCATCATTTTACGTTTTCACTCTCATGAGAATGCACCGTCACCTTTTTGACGGACTCTGGAGCAGCAGAACCCGCAATTCGGATTTGCGGGACGCTGTCCCTGGGTCACTGGCGATTCCATACTTCCTTGCTTTTTGAAGAACAAGATAATTCTTCCTATCGTGTCCGCCGCATTAGCAGCAATGGACGCACTGCTGAAATTAGCGTACGGATCAAGGAAGAATGCGTCTCTTCCCTGAACTTGCAATGTATTTTGCGTTATTAGTTTTTCTTTAGTTCTACAGACCGTGTACGCAGGACTGCAATGAGTACCGTTCTCCTCTGCGTCTTCGGGTCTTTCATCCTCTTTGTTCATCATAGTTATCGGCAATATATTATTATCGATTATTTCTACTAGCGAATACGTGATGTTGATCCTCAAACTCGTCCGTTGGACCAACGAGTAAATTGCGTTGGTTTAACTTCGTGCTAGGTATGTCCTCTCATAGCTTTGTTTTGTTTACTGCCGTAATATCCAATAAGCGCACTGTTGTTCATCCGGCAGGAAATGCACTACTTGCTCACTAGATTGGGTGTTATCACTCCGTTTCAATTGTCATGATGGATTCCTTGCGGTCTGCTTGGTGCGTGACTTCCGGTTCTATTTCACATTGCAGCTGGTGCCACTGACTCCTTTAAAGTCGCCTCCTATTCACACTTTCCCTTTAACTTGAACACGTTGCTGCGTTTTGTCTGCGGATAGTTTTCTTATGATGCCATGAACCTGTATTTCAGACGCCACCTTTTCTTATTGTGACGGTCAGCTACTTGTGAACGTGGGACGCTGCTATGGTGTATACATCTTGGTTCTGAGTGTGGGATTAGAACATTTAGACTCTATCCCACACCCTATACGCCTCTGTTGTTCCGCGTTAGTAAAATCAACTCACATTTTTCTGTATGCTCAACAATACACTAGTACAACCTACTGATGTATTGCAGTCGGTGGCTACGGCGATGACGTTCCACAACATATGGATTGTGTATCTCCCATTCTCTCACTTTTTCACCGTACTGGGTGTTATTTTTTCTGCGTGTTGTAGCGGCACTCTGCTAATGATGACCACCGGACTCCGTGAACCTGCATTTACCGTGGTTGGCAGACTGCGACTCCGTTACTCGTTCACAGCGATGATTTCCCAAGTCACTGCCTAAGCCCGGACCTTTCAGTCTTTATCATACCTTCCTTTAGCTTAATGTGATGCCTAGCGTATCAATCTGTCCGCTCCCACACAGCCTCATCTTAGCGTCCGATTGCCTATTTAGTGTTTTCAGTTGCACTAGACCATTAGCTCTTCGTGTTCGTTTTGCTACGTTATACTCCCGAATAGTTACCGGTCTTATTCGTAGATCACGCTCTCCTGCACAAGAACGCTCAAAGTCACCGCATCCCCGTTGGCGAAAATTAAAGTCCACTGATGATGAAGATTCGTTGCGGTCGGTGGACCACGACGTGCCTGCCTTCCGATCTCCCATCACTGCACGTGAGTCTATGTCTATTTTAAGCTTCTTGTTGTTATCATCCCGCGAGAGCCCTTGTCTGGTGAACGCGAAGTGTAAACCCAGTCTCTTAACTACCCACCCGTGGCGTTAAGGATCACAAACCTTCCTCGTAATCCGGGGGCGCTGGTTCGATCCTGCGTAGCCACCGGGCAACCCTTGCAGTATTCGTAGCCCATGTTCGAATGATGATGGTAGCACGTCAGTGAAGCTGACGACACAGTTGGCCTCGGCCGGTTGTTGTCGACTACCTGGTTGGGGTCCGAGAGATGCGGATACTTCCTGGTTGAAGACTTTGGAAGTCATGGCTCAAGACCTAAGTCAGTGGCGGACGTGTGTTACGGTCTCCCTCCTTCCTCCCCCTAACAAACAAACTGAAAAATTTCAAAAACTGTGAGTGTCAAACTGGGCAAAAAAAGCTTTCGGTGTTGTTATTGTTATTTTCTTATTCTTCCTACTGTTTTGCTATTCAGGCATGATTCCGATGGCAGAATATCTGTACCACAGATTGTGTACTGCCTGTATATACATATATATATATATATATATATATATATATATATATCCAGTGTAAACCCGAAGGAAGAAGACCGGGAGGTATGTGGATGGGAGCCACGTTTCATCAACGGAGCCGGCCCACACTCCTTCACAGGCACACTGTATTTGGGGAATCAAGCGCACACAAGGCGGTGGCTGGACCGTAGTCCGCTCCACACTGACTGCATGGAACCACTTTTCGAGCCTAGCACGGCCACAAGGACCGTGCACCCCGTCCCCTCCAGCAACGACCAACTGTCTCCTGGAGCTAGTTGAACGAGGTAGTGGGTAATAGACAGGTAGGCACCTTGTCAACATGCACATCAAGCGCAGCCACACCGGAGATATCAAACAACAGCCAATCACTTGAAACGACAAAATGAAATAAAATAAATCCAATAATGCATACAGATACGGTGGCATAACTCTTCGCTAAATGAGCAGACGAAGTGAGTTGGTTAGCAACGAATCCGCGATAAGGAAAAAATGTCCACAAGTTAGTTAAAAATGCTACAAAACGCAACAAAGTTACCGAAGATAAGCGCAATTAATGTAAGCAACGTGGCCAGTTAATAGATTGCTTGTCCTCTTCATCGATTAGACTTTCGGAACGGGCCATATCAACAGTGGGATACCCTTTTGCAAATGACGCAGTCGTGAACTCCGTAGTGCTTTTGCGCTCGGTTCTCTGTATATCTCTTACCCCCTCCACCTAATGCCTCTAATTTTTCGAAATAGCAGGGACAAACGACGTTTCAACAGAATAACCTGAATTCAGCTATTTCGCATCTTCTCGTCACCTGTTTAAAGATAATCTGTGAAATTACTATGTTACACACAATGGTAAACCAAGCGTGGAATCGTCTGCATAAAGATAATCGCTAACCTCTTCAGAGCGGGAATAGTCGCAAATTCCGTCAACTTATATAAATTGGGCTTAAGCCGACGAATTGCGGAATCATCCGCGAACTGACCTCATTTTCAGTCCCTAGGGCACTAATATAGCTACCCATATACTTAAATTTCTTTTCGCATTCTTGTTGATTACAGCCAGTGGTCAGCGCTGGGGTGGGTCCTTGTCCCTCTTGGAGGGCGCAACTCGTAGTCCGATACGGCTGATAGCCAGAGGTAATTTATCCAGTGCAACTTGACACGTTCGCGATCTATGCTAGATGAGCACAATGTCCTCGACATACTCCCCTTCCAGAAGCCGGTCATCTGGGAGCAGCTCCACACCTTGTAAGTCGAGCTCGGCTAACGCCTTTTCTATGACTGCGTGAATGGTGAAGTTAAAGAGGAAAGGTGACAATAGGCGGCCCTGGTTCGGGCCGAACAGACTGCTTTTTCTTTCCCACGGCTTTCTGGCTTGCCTTTTAGGGGTCATGCGTAACCCAGCCACTTTATTCATCGAATGTTCATTACGTTCCGAAGCACCAGTCGACTGATGCGTGGACATTTCGCTTTTAATCCTTACGCGTCCCATTAGTTGCTTGATATAAATAAATAAACGTCTGATGCTTTTTCGGACTAGGCTCTGTTATGTAGCTTGTGAACTACTGGAATGAAAACCCTAACAAAATGACAACTAAAATCCAGTAATATAAAATGAACAACTAGTTTATTTCTCGTCTGTGCGAGACATGGCCGTTTTTGATCTGACCAAATCGTACAAGGCGATCGCAAAGTTGTTGTTTGTTCATGTAAACAGACACAATACACGCCATTTAAGATGCTCAATCAGTCACACGAATGCACTGTATCAATCGAATGTTGGTTAGTAATTAGCAAAGATATTACAACGCAGCAGTTCTGTGTGTCAATGACATGCTGGCACATACTTCGCTTGCGGCGTATTCTGTTATTGCAGCGGAGTGATATGTAGCTCATCGGAGAGCGAAATGCTGCAGTTGGGGGTGACTTGAGCTTGAAGGATCATTGTGTTTCTTCATATAGAAGAATCTGTGCACCAGCGTTATTTGTATGGAAGCAAAACGCCAATCAGCCAGACGTATTCGAAGACTGCTCCAATTATTAAGCGAGTCTCGGGGGAAGGGACTGATTGGAAAAATATAACAGTGAACAGGTTAGCCGATATATAAGTGGAAAGGACTGTTATAGGAGAAATAAAATACCAGCCTATATTGATGTGTTCGGCAGCATACAATGCGACAAAATAGGTAGGAGAGGCATGCATATTAACTGATTCTTGGCATGTTCGAGATGCTGTTTCATTGGAATCGGTCAAGCCTGTGTTCCCATAGATCGTCAGTGGACTTGCTACTCCATAGCCGAGGTGGTACTCGAGAACTGATTTAGGGAAGTTCAACCCTAATTACCTTGTACATTAAGGTTTAATGGTTTTCTGTTTCGTGCGTATACGTATCTGGGACAGAAGCAGCAGTAGCAACCATGGGAACGAGTGCTCTGAAGTTTGATTAAAAGAGAACAGTGTAACAGTCGGGTTAGTGAGGGTGAGTACATGATTGGCCTTTCCTCATATGCTTCCATGTAGACTTGAAAACCTTGAGGTAGGTATAGCCGGTTACCAGGTTATAGCACGTGCCCAAGGAGTGAAAACGAGGACTCGGTTTACCTTCCGTCGTTGGCTTCCGTGTAGACATACAACCCTGGAGATTGCTGTGGTCGAGTAAATAAGGCAGATAACATTGGTCTGATGGGTGAACATAAGGGCACGGAACAACTCCCCCCTTCAGCGGCCATATTGTTATAGGGGCCTTGAAGTTGACAAGATCGGGTAAAGAGTAAATGTGCTAAATGTTGGAAGACGAGGCACGGGATTTCAGTCTGTTGGTTCGGTTTCTATGTAATAATTCTATTTCAGAAATTCACGCTGACTAGACTGGTCGTCTTGAGATGTTTCTCATCTAGATGGCCATTTTCTCATGTGCGGTGTTCCCTGGTTCTACGCTGAACGCGCAGTGCAATTATTATCGTAAAGAGTCCATCGTTGCCCTTTTCACGAGTCATTCTGATTGCACATTGCAATAATCTTCTCCATCTCACCATCCATACTTCAGACGGTGATCGTTCCTGTGAACGCTTATCGAAAGATACACGGCACGACTCCATTGGTTCACATTCTTCCAGCGTTCGTCCAACTGAAACTGAAGAACGCGTAGTTACCACTGAGGACATCAATTCTATGGCTGCCAAAGTTTTGAAAGCGGAACTAGGTTCCGATTCGGTGAGTTCACTGTTTGGTTCTCTATGTTTGAATTTTATTTATTTAATGTAGCGCAAATTTTGCCTTCGTATGTATCCCTGGCTCAGTTGACAGCCCTTCTCAGGTCGACAGCCTGATACCCTAAAATCGGCTTACAGTCACTCCCATCGCTCCGTCAAAACCAGACTTAGTAAACACTTGCTGTTCCTTTTGAAGTGTTTATTGTTTGGTACCATACTTGTTTTCTCCTCGACGACCATGTCCTTTGACCGAGCTCAACCTACGCGAATCACATCTCTATATGGCACTATTTTCCGCATGTTTGCTGCATTTCCTCTGTGCTCCTGCTTTCTTTTGCCGCGTAGGATACAGGTTGGCGCACTTTTGTGGTTTTCGCTACAGGCACATTTCATCGGAGTCGCTATGTTTTCTTTCCTTTCAATCTCTCTTCCAAATGAGCATGAATAATGTCGTTTCGCTCACTACTTCTGTAATCATTACGCCAGGATATCTTGTCAGGTAGCCTTCTATCACTATGTTCTAGGTTCTGTTGCTAGCTCTACGACTGTCTCTACGTAGTGAGCATAGATGCGATCTCAGTGATCGGTGTTTAGTTCAAAATAAATCTCGCTCCCAACTGGCATTGTGTGTCGAACTTCATACACAGCAAGTGTTACAGGGACCCAACAATGAGTTGGCTTCATCTTATGAGCCATCCAATCATAGAGGACATATTGCAAGCGAATTATCGTTCTAGCAGGATTGTCTAGGCGCATCACTGATGGCGTTTGGGCGTATTGTCTCCTGTGAACTGTAGGTCGTATCCTAGGTCTTGTATGCGGTCTATCTCAACTCCGAGACGGACCAAAAATCCCTTTCCTAGCGATCGATGTATCCGTAGTCACTAACCCTGTTCTGTCTTCTACTCTGCACCCGATAAGTGGCACACCGCGGTAGCTTCTCTGACTGTCACAAACTCTTCAGTTTCCGCTCTCGGCCACTTGAGTTACACCGCTGATCGCTATTTACCATCACTCTGCTTCCTCCCTTCACGTTGGTCATATTTGAAACTAAGGGAGTAAGATTTCACACACATTGTCTGGCTTTCCGAAGAAACAGATTGTTTAAACTGAGTATTGCCCTGCACTTCAAAGAACAACTAATCAGGCCATTCATTTATGCTTGTATCGCCCTTTTTCAACCCCATTCTCTATCCAAAGACTAAAGCAGCCAAGCTCAAGGCAAATTTGGAGAAACTACGAGATGCTCAACGTCGAGGAGTCAAGGTTCGGATGCATGTGATTCCCAAATCAGCACAATCCACAGAGGCAGACAAGCCATCTGTTGTTGCTCTTACCCGACTCAACGATCGTGGGATGGAAATGCCTGTGTACATACCTTCGCAAGGTACAATGGACGGTAGTTCCAGGAGGTAACTTGACATATTTTCTCCATATATTCACCGTTGCTCTTTCCTATTTATTTGAGGTTAGATCTCACCATCATTTACCTCCATAGTGTCTGTCGTCTTTCATTTGTTCCCGTAGCTTCTTACGTCAAGGCAGCCAATAAGTATATGCCACACGAACCCAATGGCAAAATTTTTATGGGACTTTTAAGACGGTTGATACCCAACTTGATTTAGCATTTATCAATTAGACACGGCAATTGGCATGGAGCACGAGCTCCTCGATTTCTCGCTAGCCATGTAGCAATACGAACCTCACTTACTCACTGGCTGTTGCCAGTCGGATCCTAACTATTAAATTGCGAACCACCAGAATCCTTAGTTGTTTACACCATTTCAATACTGTCGCGAACTTACGTCAAGCGAAACGCATGCGGTGATTTCCAAGCAAACAATTGAAGGGCGAGAAACAGCTGCTTCTGTTCGACAATGTGCCTTGCTACTTTTGGACTGTTTTGTTTCATGTGGGTGTCAATGAAACGTCCTGCATAACCGTTTCTAATAAGGACTTTTTTGATTCGCTTCAATTCGTCCACGACGGTATCCACTCTGCAGCTAAAACATGCACGATTTTTAAGGTGTGCACCGACTTTGTTTTACTAATGAGTGGTACAATAATTTGGAAACGTATGTACTGACCGGTCCAGTACGGTTTTCTGGGTTGATCCATTTTACCTCTTACTTTTCGCATCCAAGAAACACACTTGCTTGTCATTTTACTTTTCTATCGTTCATTGCTGCATTGGAATGTGCTCCGTTGAAATACTGTACGATATATTGTAATTTAGTCGCTTGGTCAAGTATACGGAAAATATCATCTACCTAACGGCGGTAGAATTTGAATTCTGAAATGACCGGTTTTATTGGCCCATCTTCGAACATTTCCATGTACACATCAGCCAACAGTGGTCCTAAGCGAGATTCCACGGCCACTCCATCGACTTGTCGGTACAACTCGTTGTTGTATTGGTACTGGATGTTGCAAGAAGCTCTGAGCAAGAGTTGTTTTAAGTGGAGAGTTGGTATCAGTGTTTATCCCGTGCTGGTCAATATAGGTGCACAGGAAACTAACCGTTTCTAGCAATGGGATGCTTATGAACACTAAGACCACATCCACAGAAGACATTCAATGGTCTACAATATTCATACTTCGAACGATTTCCACAAACTGGCAGATGTTGATTAGTTGAAGCGGGACTACGATCTTTCTGATTGGGTCCAGTCAACTCGTCAGCCATCTTACTATGTTACGATATGTCGAATTTCTCATGTCCAGTATTGGTCTTAGTGGTGTGTTTGGCTTGTGTACCTTAGGGAGGTCATACAGTGGGGGAATAAAAGACCCCACAAGACTGCGCTTTTCTTTCTTTAATTAGGTGCCTGTCATTTACAAGTGATTTCAGAAATTTGGTTAGCTGCCTTTCTGTGTACCCCATTCTATCTTTATCATTCGCACTTTTTACAACTCTTAATTTGTCAGATAGGATCGTTACAAATTTTCTAATATACTTCGTGAGATCCATGACCAAACTTCCCTACCCTTTGTCCTGTTTGATGATGATAATGTCCCCTCTTTGAACGAGTTCTTTCACCGCTTCAATGTGCGCACTTTTCAGCAATCGGGATTGTGTCACAGGATATCTTTGGTATTGAGAAGCAGTGTTCACCAAGATTGATCTGAAACGCTCGAGATCGGCATTGAAAACGGGTACTAAATTACTTGTTTGGCTATTCATAATCATCAACAACAACAGTACATCAGCCATTTGAACTGGTGCTTCGCTGTATGGGTTGGCGGCATCCGTATCCGGATTTGCCTGTCACTGTGGCCTGCTTGCGGACAGCCACAGGACACCTGCGCCTACAGAGGGACCACGGGTGGCTTGCGCTGCATCACCCACAGTTCCACCCACACACCCCATATCCGATGTAAACCCGAAGGAATAAAACCGGGAAGCATGTGAATGGGGGCCATGTTTCATTAACGGACCCTGCCCACATTCCTTTAACGAGCAGAACAGAGGCATTCCGATCTAACTTGGAAATCGTGCACACCAGACGTACAGAAGGCAGTGGCTGGGTCGTAGCCCGTTCCACACACGTTGCTAGATTGAGCCTGGCACCGTCACGAGGACGGTGCACCCCGTCCCCTCCAGCAACGACCAACTGTCTCCTGGAGCCAGCAATCGAAGTGGAGGGTATTAGACAGGTAGGTACCTTGTCAACATTCACATCAGGCGCAGCCACACCGGGGAGCTCAAACAACATCTACTTCTGAAGTGCAAGAGTACTCATCACGCAGGTAAACATATCACATACGCCGCCTTATTGGCCTGAATTAGTAAATCGAATGGGAACGTGCGCATCATGCTTCTATTTCGCGTGCAATAGTGCTTTTCTCTGCACCTGGGCAACCGCCCCTTTGATCAGTTCACGGAATTCACATCGATCAACTTTGCCTTGGATTCGCAACACCTGAAATCAACATTACTTTGTCATAAACTCACCTTTATGTCCTGATAATGTTATTTTCTGTTTTCTCCCGTGCCGCTTCCCTGCACTAATTTAGCCGTACAAAAGCGGCATGAGTATCCTCGTCGACTTCATTCGATATACATATATACGTGGATTGTTGTCATCTGTGTCCAATGGCAGTTCGAATATAGTATGAACATGCGCTTGTCCAGAGTTAGAAATGAACTGCCACAAACTGGATAGAGCCACGTTAGACCTCATAATCAATAGTACTAACCACGTGTATGGGTGTCGTTTGGAAGTCAGGCTAACAGCCACTTGCACAGACAGGATAAGTATCCAATACGAACTGTTTGTATTTTCTTTAACATTTAGACTTGACAGCCTTAAATCTTGGGCATCCATATTTGAACGAAACCGATAAAGGAATAGGGACGTAATTGCCATCAGTACGGTTATCATGTAGAATGATTAATAAATAAGTGTTACAGTAAAATAGTGTGTACTTAGTTGTTGCCTCCTATATGCACAGTCTGGTTTGCGTAGCTGATGTGGGAGATCACACAGCGTACGAATGCGATTGGGTGTTCATTTTAGTCTCTCCGTGTTGTTGATCGGTCCGATCATCTGCTGCCCTAGGTGCGATTTTGGCGCAACCTTAAGCATTGACAGGTGTCAATTTGCAGCTTACGACCTCATTGGAACGACAACTACCGCCATTCTACATCAACTAAGTTCTGCTGCTCACTGTCAGACATGTGGCTTTCTAAACAGTGTTCGGACTGTTTTGCAAATATTCAAGACGTAGCATTACTGCCATCCAAGTACTCATCCATTTGTACATACCGCTGTGTACTCTGATGTAGCCAAAAACTATTTGGTAACGATCTGCATCGTACGTCTCGGGTGCAGCCATTCGGTGCTCCTGAAACCTTTGTCGCTATGTGCCGATTCATTTCCGATGTACTATACTAAGACACTGACCAACCATTACCATTGGCATCACGTTTTTCTTAGTTTATTCAAAAGATTGGCCATGTCCAATTCAACTTCTGGTAATCCTCTCTGCGCTTCCGTCTTCAATCCACTTGGTATTTGCGTTTTTATAAGCCCCGATAGATTCAATATGGCTGGTGAACAACGGGAAATAAAGCTATGTTCACTCTCATCATTAAGTACCGGAATTGTTCATTTGCCACGGGTTTTCCCTGGGTACTTTCACTTCGGATGCATAGTCCAACGTGACCACACGAGGAACAAACTTTGAGCATTGTGCTTCAGATGACAAACTTTACACTTTATGCGTACTGTAAGCGACCAAGCGCTGATAACCCTTGGGTTCATACGTGTCTACCGAACTGGAAACACTCAATAATTTGCCACCCTAGCATTGATTCTTATCAACAGCACAGTTCGCTCGAAAACCGCTCGCACATCAAATACGAATGTGCTCATGGATGGACTGAACCTTTATCCTGCGATACATCGGCTCCCTAAGCGTCCTGCCAATTAGCATTGGGCAGCTGGTCAAGCTAGGGTCATGTAATCTACAAATTGATTTCAAGGAGCAGAATGTAGGTAGCATAGTCTGGTGGAGCTTACATAGTGCTGTGAATCACTATCGAATAATAATACGAAGAGAAAATGAAAATGAAAAAATGAAATGTGTCAGCTTCTACGCCGTAACGGCGCTTCGCTGCCGCGCGACCACCACCAGTCGCGCGCGGGCTGAGTATACCGCGAGGACGCCCACCCCTACGCGGATTCGAACCGGTGACCTCATGGTTGGAAAGCAAACGTGCCAACCACTCGACCACCGGCCGACGACCGGCCGGCGGACGAAGAGAAAGATGTCGCAGCTCGCCGTCTCGGTATGTCAACGTACTAGAATCCACTTGAGAAGGTAGCAAGGGTATCCTAGATCATGATGAGTGCAACAATGTAGCGGGCTACACGTGAAACAACCGCGAACTACAACCGAGTTAGATAAGCCCTATAAAGGTAGATTAGATACGATTCATCCGTTCTAGGCAGGTTCAATAAATATACTACATGGCACCAAGTCAGTGGTTACTCATTCTAGAGTGAAGCTGTACCCAAACGCGACGTACATGTGCGATAGAATAAGGATGAGAAAAAGAAGTTGATGGAGATGGAGTAAGCAACTTTACAAGTTAGCAAGAAAATGATGCCATTAAATCCACTGATTTTATAAGCTCAGCTAAGTTAAAGTCCGCGGTGAAAGAACGGGAATTATAGCTATACTCACTTTAACGAACAAGTGGAAGCATAGTGGAACAGTGATGACTTATCGTTAGTGTGTGCTGTGAATGCCGTTTCCTATATTAACTGCAGGCTATCCGTGTCGGAAGGTAACCCAGAGCCAGTTATGATCGTCTCTTGTCCTAGGTGAGCAAGAATTGACGGGTATGTGGTCTACGAATAGACATAAAGCCATCAGAAACCATGGGACTCAAAAGAAGGTACAG